AAGGCCTAAAGTAGTTTAATGGGACAAAGTGTAGAGTTTGAACACTTTGGGTGCTTAGATTTTGAGAAAATTGACTTTTTACACACAGATATCCAAACTAAGATCAAACTATTAGATTGTGTCCAAATGTATCTCATTAGTTAGCTTATTTTATAAGCTTTATGTGGATACTTGAATCATGCCAAATAGACGTTATATGTGAAAATGGCGCACGTCAGATATTCACAACTATGAACTATCATGACAATAGAAATTGTCATATGTGTTGTGACGCATGGTGAACATGTTATGGTGCATGCACAGAGAAAGAACTCTTAGCTCTATACCATGTTGTAGCATGAGCCACAGCGCACAACCCCTTTTTTGAAATTGATTTTGTGTTTGAATTTGTATTAGGTGAGATTATGCAGCTTTTAAGCTTCCATTATGTAATATAATTTATCTTTGAATGATTTATAATGATTTTAGAAAGGTTTTAGGATCCTAAATGTTTTGAAAGTATTCATTTTCATTATTATGATTATTGATCATATTGTTAATGAGTGAGGTTTGTTGATCTTAGATTATGATTGTGTTAACTGTACAATTTTGGTAATGTCTGGCAGACATTACAATGGTGTTACAATATGACAGTTGATATCTCAATCATTATCTCACTTGGTCATAAGCCAAATCCTAGAGGTATGTGTATTAGTTGACATGATTCATGTATATTTTTTGTGCAAAGTACAACGAGTCATGCCTCATGTACTGATAGGCCAAAGACTCCATATACTATTGAAAAGTTTTAGAGTAGGTATTTCTATAATTTTGTTATCATGTATATATCTTTTCTTTCATTACTTTCTTTGATTTATTACTATAATTTAGTATTCTTTCATATATTTTCATGTTATATTTTAGTTCTGAACTTATTGTTTTGTCTTAGCTGGTTCCACACTAAACACAAAAAACAAAGCCATTTAGATATGGTGTTTTCTGTTTGAAGTGTTATGTAAAACCCGACATATAATGAGGTTGTTGCATTTGGTTTTCTTTGAAAGTATATCTACTTATTTTGATGAATAAGCTAACTAAGAAAAAATGACATACATGAATATTAGAGAGTTAAACTCAAATTACAAGCTAGACAAACAAGAGGTATTTGGGATATAAGAATCATTGAAGTTAACATTTTGTTTTACCACAACTTATGAAAAATGCAAGAAAAAAATTGCAGCGACTTGCATGGCAAATAATGCAATTGGGTTGATGCTGGAAAGTGAACTTTCCTTTAAAGGTGTGAAATGGAGAAATGAACCTATTTGGAAAAAAACAAAAAGGGGTGTCGCAAGGCATGCTAGAGATACAGGGTCCCAAAAGGATGGATGAACCTGACTTCTAATCAAACACGAAAAACACAAGCTCCCTTACCACAATTCACCCGAATGTGAGAATATGAAGTAAAAAAAAGTAATGTAGATGTAGGAAAATGGAGATATATTAACTAAAGAAAGAGGTGATAAGCTATGTCGGCAATACAATAGAAAAGTAAAGACTAAAACTATAAGATAAAAAGGGAAAATAAGGTACCAGGCATGGAGTTTGAAAATTTGACTGGTAGTTTGTTGATGACAATGATGATTCTTGTTGAGAGAGGGCTCTTTTATTTATAGATGATCTTGGCTTGGTGCATAAGCCCTATGACTGCCAATTTCCTTGAATTTAGGAAGCACTTCCTCTATCGTGTCTACTTTCCATAATTCAAGTATCATAGGTAGAGTGTGGAGATCATGGCCTAGACCTAGTCTTAACTTAGTGGCTAAGGCTTCATGAATATTAATTTTTAATTATTTTAAGGCTGATTAAATTGAGTTGAACTTGTAATATCTCACTTTCTTAGACACATTTAATAAATCAAGCTCATGGTAATCGAGGGATTAACTCTGAAGAGTGATTACTAAGTTTTTAATTTAAAAAAAGGGAATCCCAAGTTTTTCTAAATAGAAGCAAATTAACATCGATAAAAATCTTTCACATCAGAGTAAAGATAGGTTTCAGAAGCATGGGATACCTTAGAGGAGTGAAAGAAGTCAAAAACGGTGAAGAGTAAATCAAGCACTGAAAAACAGAGCAGTGCACCATGGCATGTTGCGCTATATGCCACATGCTGCGGCTCAGGTGCCATGTGCCGTGGCATGTTGCATGAATTTTCATTGGTTCTACTGTCAAAATGACAACAGAATCAGGGAACTTTCGAGCCGCCCTGATTCTCCATTTGACGTCTAATTAACATGATCTAGGTGTCTACGGAAAGCTCTTTTCCTGTACTAACTAATGGCATGCGTTTTACTTCCAAAACCCATCACACCAAGAAGTTGGATACCTAAACACAATTTAACTACTTTTCAACACTTTCATATAAAATAGGTGTTCAAAACCCTCAACAAGTGCCAAAAGTTTTTCCTAACACCTGGACCATGTCCAATGGACCTAGGACTACTAGTATAACACATCACAAGCCTTGAAACATCATTATAATTGAAATTCACTCCTTAACCCTAATTTACCAAAAACAAAAGGGAAGGTGAAATAGCATTGCATTCAACTCAAAACATTCAAAACATGTTCAAATCTTCTTTTCTATACTTGCACTAGTATTTAGGCCCTATAAACATATAAATAAATAAATAAATAAATATATATATATATATATATAAACTAAGGCTATGGGCCCAAAATACAATTTTGACATTTCCAAACTAACATACTACAAGTATGGGTAATATGCATCCTAGAATTGGCAAACATATGCTATTACACAACTACATCAAAAACTGAAGGCATACAGGAAGGAATGTAATAATTCCCAGCCTCTTTAGTCTTCTCCCTCTTAACAACAAAACTAGAGCCTAAAAAGTATTAAAAAAAGGGGTAAGTCTAGCCACTTAGTAATTAAGGTTAAACCTACCCTATGCATTTATATATCAATTATAAAGCAAAAACATGCACGAGGAGATCAAATTTATAAAACATATACCCATATATCACATTTTATCACTTATTACACTATAGCTTCATTACTCATATAACTAGGTGCATTGTCTCCATATTCTTAGATATGAGACAAGACTTATACTCTTGTGACTTGCCACCACTTAGCAAGTGTGACACGTCATGTATTTATTTAGGCAATGATCAACCAACCTTATATCCTCCTTATTTCCTCAGACCAAAACTGTGGGCTATAACACTGATTAGGACTCCATCCGTGTGACTGGACTACCCAAGCTTACTAATCGTGAGGTGTGACTCGGCCAAAGATTACAGGACCACGGCTTTCCCCATTCTCGAATCCCTAGGGTGTCTCATACCCTAGGCTATTCTCCTCATTAAACCGGTGGAGATAGCTAGGTTCTAGCCCCTCGATAAACTATGCGATAGTCCCTCGACAAATAGTAGGATAAAGCTATAGCCCCCGTGCACCAGAGGGCAACCTAATTACCATATGGATTTTCTCTACTCCCAATCCCTAGGCGAACTCCCACCACTGATCATGCCTTAATCATTACTCATTTGTTCTCACTTTTCACTTTCATATACTTTCTATTACAAAAATCACGTTAGGCTCACGACCTTGCGCTACCTATGTGTGTATTCTCATCTTTTTCTCAAATTCATTTCATGACTAACACACAATTATCTCTACTCATCATTGCATTCATTTTCAAAACATAAGCATTTTCATAATAAAATCCTTTTGATTTTGCATTTTACATTTCAAGCCAAAATAGCATTGTGCTTAATCAAATGTTCATACACTCAATGAAAACTAATGCATAGTGTTACATAAAAATCAATCTCATGCATGTAATATCCACCATTAGCATTCAAACGATCAATTAACATACAACTATCCAAAGTAGAGTTTTCCCTTAGTTACCTCAAACCTTTGAGAGGTCAAAAGTTTACCCCTCAATTAACTAGCCTCCAAGCTTGAATTTTCACTCTAAAAGGTGACCAAGAGCCAAAACTACAAGCAATCAATTTGAATTCCATCAACAACCAAAACTCAAATAATTAAACCCTCAATCTCTACTTCTAATTTTCCCAACCTTTACTTTACAAGAGGTGGAGCCTAACCATTATATTTAATATTTACCTTCAGCTCCCAATAGCATTAATGAGCCATTAAATTCCTATTAATGGCATCACAAACTTCTAACCACCATAATAAATGGGATTTTCAGGTATTTATGGTGCCCAACAACCTAAAACACTAAAACCCATTATACCTAGGTTTAAATACTCTAATCTACTTCCAATAACTCCATTAAAGTCAACAAATTCGGACCCATAACCTATATAGACCAAAATCCTACTTCCACTATCAAACTCTAACTTTAACCTTATAAATGTGTAAGAAAAGGGAAGATTAACGAGTATGATACTTACCTTGGGTGTTTATAGCCTTCAAAATACTCTCAAAGTGATACCCAAGTAAACCCTAGTAGAGCTTAGACACGCCTCTTCTTTCTCTCTCTTCTCTTCTTTCTTTTTTATCTCAATTCGCGTCTGATAAAGTGTAGAAAATGGCCATACACTTTAATGGATGTATAATGCACCATGGCGCAGGGCACAGAGAGGTCCTCCCTTGCTTAGAGATAGCTAAGCACCGTGACAGATGATCTACGCACTGCGGCGTGTGGCACAGCAGCTTCAACTCTTCTTTTTTCTTCTCTTTTTGATGCCCGAGTGGCCCGCCTCAATACCAGACCCTCAACTAAGGCTGAAATAACATCAAATAAGATTATTAGACCTCTCTGGCTACACACCACTCCAATTTACTTAATTATCCTAATTAAGTTTAATTAATTAGGGAATTAAAACTCAGGATGTTACAATTCTCCCCTCCTTTTAGGAATTTTGTCCCCAAAATTCACTTAATCTGGCAAAGCTAGTAGAATCTTACCTTAAAGAAACAAGTAAGGATAATGGTTTCTCATCTTCTCTTTAGTTTCCTATGTAGTATCACTAGAAGTCATCCCTTTCTGAATGACTTTCACCAGCCAAATTGTCTTATGTCTCAGTTGTTTCTCCTTAACATTCACAATTTTCTCAAGCTCTGCCCAATATGTCAAATTCTCATGTAAGTCCACATCCTCGGGCTCAATCATATGTAAAGGGTCAAGTTGATATTTCTTCAGTTGAGACACATGGAATACATCGTGCACACCCGACAAATGAGGGGGTAAGGCAATTCGGTATGCCAAAGGCCCAATTCTCTCAAAAATTTCAAATGGCCCAATAAATCTAGGAGTCAACTTCTTCGCATGAATTGACCTCCCAATTCCAGTTATAGGTGTGACCTTCAAAAACATGTGGTCTCCCACCATAAACTCTAATAATCTCCTCCTCTTATTTGCATAGCTCTTTTATCGACTCTGAGCAGTCAACAACTTCTGCAAGATAGTCTCAATCTTCTCAGTGGTTTAATCCACCAAATTAAGATCTATAATGCTTCTCTCACTCAATTCGATCTAACAAAGTGGTGATCCACACTTCCTGTTGTACAAGGCTTCATATGGAGCCATTTGAATGCTCGCATGAAAACTGTTGTTATAAGAGAATTCCGCTAAAGGTAGGTGCTTATCCTAACTGCCATTCCATTCAATGGCACAACCACGTAGCATATCCTTGAGAGTCTGGATGGTCCTCTCGGTTTGAGCATTTGTCTGAGGGTGATAAGCCGTACTAAACTTCAGCTTTGAACTTATAGCCTCGTGCAATGCTTTCCAAAAGTTTAAAGTAAACCTCGGATCACGATCTGACACAATCTCTTTTAGCACACCATGCAACCTCACAATCTTTTAAAAGTAGACCTCTGCAAGCTTCTCTAAAGCATAGTCGGCTATAATAGCTAGAAAATGAGCAGACTTGGTCAACCTATCCACAATTACCTAAATAGCATCATGATTCACTTGGGTACATGGAAATCCCATAATGAAGCCTATAGAAATGCAATCCCATTTCCACATGGGAATCTCTAATGGCTGTAGCAATCCTGGGGGTCTTTGGTGCTCAATCTTCACCTTCTGACAAGTCAAACATCGAGATACGTACTCTATCACATCCCTCTTCATACCAAGCCACCACAACCTACTCTTCATGTCTTAATACATCTTGGTAGTTCTTGGATGAATAGTGAACTTACTCTGATAGGCTTCAGCTAGAATGGTCTCTCGAACCCCTTTATCATTAGGTACATATACCCGATCTCTATACACTACTAACCCATCATCGTTGAACCAAAAGTCCTTGGTCTTGTTTGCCTTGATATCATCTCTAATCTTTGATAGATACTTGTCTTCAAGTTAAGCTTTTCTCAAGTCCTTCCATAATTCATTAGTGATTACCATTGTATTCAAGTTGTACATGGTGAAATCTGGACTATTTTGGTGTTCACTAGAGAAATCTTCTAGTAACTTGTACTCATGGATCATAAACCACACCACATGTAAGGTCTTGTGACTTAAAGTATCGGCCACTACATTAGCCTTTCCCAGATGGTATTTTAACTCAAAATTATAATCTTTCAAAAATTCCATCCATCTTCACTGTTGCATAGTTAACTCCTTCTGATCAATTAAATACTTAAGGCTTTTACGGTCACTGAACACCTCAAACTGTAAACCATAGAGGTAGTGCCTCCATATTTTTAAAGCAAATACAATCGCTGCTAACTCAAGGTCATGAGTTGGATAACTCTCTTCATGCGGTCTTAATTGTCTCAACATGTAAGCTACAACTCTATCATCTTGCATTAGCACACAGCCTAGTCCCTTAAGTGATGCATCGGTATAAACCACATATGGCCATTTGGGATCTGGAATAGTCAACACTGACATTGTAGTCAACTTCTCCTTCAGAGTCTAAAACACCTCTTCACACTTCTCTGTCTAAACAAATGGCTGATCCTTCTTCATTAGCTTCGTTAAAGCAGAAGCAACTTGAAAGAATCCTTAGATAAATCTCCAATAATAACCTGATAAACCCAAGAAACTTCTTATCTCAATTACTGATGTTGGTCTTTGCCACTGTAGTACCGCATTAACCTTGTATGGATCCACTGCTATACCGTCAGCAGAAATGACATGTCCCAAAAATTTCACTCCTCGTAGCCAAAATTCATACTTGCTCAATTTGGCATATAACTTGTGCTCTTTCAGCACTTGCAACACTATCCTCAAATGACTTGTATGTTCTTCCTCATCTTTGGAGTATATCAAGATGTCATCAATGAAAACTACTACAAATTTGTCTAAGTAGGACCTGAAGTTCCTGTTCATGTAGTCCATAAAGATCGCAGGAGCATTTGTTAGACCAAAGGGCTACTAAAAACTCATAATGCTCATATTGTGTCCTAAATGCAGTCTTAGGAACATCATTTGCATTAACCCTCAATTGGGATTATCCAGACCTTAGATCAATTTTAGAGAAAACTGCAGCTTCGGCAAGTTGGTCTAGTAAATCATCAATCCGTGGCAATGGATATTTGTTCTTAATCGTCACTTGTTGAGTTGCTTGTAGTCAATGCACAACCTCATACTCCTATCTTTCTTCTTTACAAACAACACAGGTGATCCCCACAGTGATACACTCGACCGAATGAATCCCTTCTCCAGCAGCTCTTCTAATTGCTTTTTCAATTCTTCTAGTTCTGTAGGAGCCATACGATACGAAGCATTAGAGATTGGCTCGGTACCGAGTACTAAATCAATCGAGAATTCAATCTCTCTTTCAAGTGGCAATCCTGACATGTGGTCATCAAACACCTCGAGAAACTCATTCACCATACCAATTCTGTCAATTCCTCCATAATACACCTCATGAGTAGAACAATAGATCATGAAAGCCTAACACCCTTCTTTCACTGACTTCTCTACTTGTAGGGCTATCAAGGACTTAGGATTCTCATAATCCATTACTGATAATAACTTGCCAGGTTCAAGGTTAATAGTTGTCGCTGTGTAGACTGGTAAGGAAACTATCTTTCTATTACAGTCAAGTGTCGCACCATTAGCAGACAACCAATCCATCCCTAATATCATATCAATGCCACTCAAATGTAAGTAGATTAAGTCAATCATAAAAATCTATCACCAAACCTCAATTCTAGTTTCAAACAAGCCTGACTAGTCCTCACAGATGCACCAGCCAGTGTAGACACATTCATGGCAAACTGCATTTCAAGCACATGTAATTTTAGTCTCTTGGCACAATCATTAGATATAAAGGAGTGTGTAGCACTAGAATCAAATAAAGTATCTATCTGGTGACCACAAAGTGAGATTGTACCTCTAATCAACTTTAGTGAAGCCTCGACCTCCTCTCTGGTCATGGTAAAGACTTGTCCTAAGATAGGGGATCTCTGATTAGGAGCAGGTATGTTCTCTGGGCAGAACTTAGCTATATGTCCCACCTTGTTGCATTTGAAGCAAACCTAACATTGCCCTTGGTGATGTTTCCCGCATCTATTACACTACAGAGCTCTAGCTGGCATCATAACAAATAAAGCTATAGATTTTTATTGGGAAGTCTAATTTCTAACCCCATCCATACTCCTTGGGGCATTACTCTTCTAGTTGGATCCCCTAGATTGGGACCCCTTTTGGAAGTTCTTCTTCTTGCTTCCTCCAGCGTTATACCTCCCAGATATACTCGGGTTAAAACCTGACTTCTTACTCACTCTGCCTATAGGGCCCGTGTAGGAAGAGAATCTCCCTTGACCATCTCTTTTCTTCTCTTCTACCACTCTACTCCTTCTAGCTATAGCTCTAAACTTATTGCACATAACCTCGAAGGAAGTAATATCAAAGGCAGCTAATTGTTGGCTGAACTCAGGCCTCATCTTATCAAGAAACTGCTTGGCCTTCCAATACTCATTGTCATGATGACTCAAGTAGGTGTATTACTTCGATAGCTCATTAAACTTTGCTATAAATTCCTCCTCTTTCATATTTCCCTGCTAAAATCTATGAAATTTTACCTCTTTCTCTGCTCAAAATGAGGCTGGGAGGTAGTGGGCGAAGAACCGCCTCTTGAACTCTATCCATGTCAACTGCGAGCCATCCTCCGGCCTCATACTTTCCTACCATTGCTTTGCTGTGTTCTCAAGCATAAAAGTGGCTAAGGGAAACCTCTACTCAATCATACAGGTCATGACTAAGAAGACAGTCTCAAGCCTATTGATCCATTTCTCAACTGCTTGGTCCTCCATGGAACCCTTAAAGGAAGGAGGATTTGACCTCATGAATTGTTTTAACACCATATCAATGGAGCCTTCCAACTCACTTATCCTAGGCCTCACTAGTTGCACTAGCCTCTCAGGAATACTTTCCTTATAGTACTCTTCATCTCCATGCCTGTGGACATCATCTCGGGCTTCCTCTTGGTCAACCCCAACTCTCTCCACTATCCTACCACTCTCCCCAGGTGTTCTTCTAAGAATCTCATCATAACTATCCATTCTCTTTTAGATGTCCATCATCATATGACTCAGTTCATCTAGGGCATTATCTTTGTTACCCTGTTAAGGTTCGGGTTGTTACTCTTAGTTCACCAGTTCTTGTTCCAGTCTTTGCATATTTGATGGTGCATTTCCTACGTCTGTGGCTCTTATTTGCACCATATTCTCCACTCCTAAGAATGGAAGCAATCCTAAAAAGGAAAAAGGGAGTTAGCACTAGCTTGATGAGAGAAATAACAAGTGTAATAGGATATTACCAATTCTCTATATGCAATGCATAACAAATTTGAACAACTCAATCACAAAAACCACAGACTAGTTCTCAGAACCAGAGAAACTGATACCAAGTTGTAATATCTAACTTCACTAAACACATTTAATAAATCAAGCTCATGGTAATCGAGGGATTAACTCTGAAGAGTGATTACCAAGTTTTTAATTTAAAAATAAGGGAATCCCAAGTTTTTCTAAATAAAAGCAAATTAACATCGATCAAAATCTTTCACATCAAAGTAAAGATAGGTTTCAAAAGTATGGGATACCTCAGAGGAGTGAAAGAAGTCAAAAACAGTGAAGAGTAAATCAAGTGCTGAAAAATAAAGCAGTGTGTCACAACAGGCGTACTCTGTGCCATGGCGTGTTGCTCTCTATGCCACGCGTCGTGGTGTGTTGCATGAATTTTCACTAGTTTTGCTGCCAAAATGACTACAAAATTGGGGAACTTTCAACCAGCCCTGATTCTCTGTCCAATGTCCAATTGACGTGATCTAGGTGTCTATGGAAAGTTCTTTTCCTATACTAACTAATGGCATGGGTTTTACTTCAAAAACACATCACACTAGAAAGTTGGACACCCAAACACAATTT